TTACACAGAGTTAAGTAAAACAAATGCTCTACCAGTAGTGTTATGTATGTATGTATGTATGTATGTTTTTAGATTTGTTATGTAAAGTACAGTACTCAGTATTTTTTTCTCACTACAGATTGAACCCATCACCTGGACTTCAGTGACTGGCTGGACTGGAAAAGGAGGCTCAATGTTGGGCACCAAGAGGTAAAACATAAGTTGTTACTCTTTTTTTTAAGTGGTACAGCTTTTGACATAACAGAGCAGAGGCAGCAGTAGTTCAGTCGGTGGAGACTTGGCTTGGGAAGGTTGCCGGTCCAAGTCCCTACACTGACCAAGTGCAGAGTGTGGACTTTAGCAGGAGAGAGGCCAGTTTGTCTCCTGAGCACTGCCGAGGTGCTCCTGGCACCAAACTGCCCACTGCTTAATACTAGGATGGTTAAATGTTGAGTGCTGTCCACAATGTGTGACAATAGAAGTCCATTTACCATTTACAGTTTTCAATAACACTACAACACTTTTCACTGAGTAATTTATCTCTGTTTCCCAAAGAACTCTGCCAGGTAAAGTATTGGAGGAAATCAGCCTGAATATTGCCAAGTTCAACATCCACGCTTTAGTGATCATCGGTGGATTTGAGGTAAAAAGTCGTGACAGCTATTTTTCTCTTTTAAAACCAGTAGTTATGTCAGCGTTGTTTGATCAACAACAAAAATACACTGAATTATCTAACATCTTTATCTTCTCCCTCACTGCAGGCCTATGTGGGAGGCCTGGAGCTGGTTCAGGCCAGAGAGAAATACGAGGAGTTGTGCATTCCCATGGTGGTTATCCCCGCCACCGTCTCCAACAACGTCCCCGGCTCTGACTTCAGCATCGGCGCCGACACCGCCCTCAACACCATCACCGCTGTCAGTGCCTCAACAACAGATATGCACACATATGTACAAAAAGAATCCAGCTAAATTAATTTCTCCTTTGTTTTTTTTCTGCAGACTTGCGACAGAATCAAGCAGTCTGCAGCCGGGACTAAGCGCCGCGTGTTCATCGTTGAGACTATGGGCGGATACTGTGGCTACCTGGCCACCATGGCCGGTCTGGCTGCTGGGGCTGATGCCGCCTACATCTATGAGGAGAAATTCAGCATTAAAGACCTGGAGGTGAGTTGATGTTAGGACCTGTTTATCCAGTTTTCAGTTGCAAGACTCTCTGCACCTTTAAACAGTGATGTGTTCTGATTGTGATCTGTGGACTGTAGGTGAACGTAGAGCACCTTTTGAACAAGATGAAGACAACAGTGAAGAGAGGTTTGATTCTCAGGTTGGTTTTCAGTCGGGTGTGAACTAAATGTGCAGCAGATATGAATGCTTAATTCTGAGTTAACAATATGGGCATTTAAAACACATTTTGGCTCCAGTTTACTCACTCTGGACGTATTTAACAGGCAACAGAATGGTTAACATTTGCTTTATAACATTTTAATCATGAATTCAAAATATGAGTTCCTCCACGTTCCCCTTTTGACCAAATTACAGACATAGTTAAACCCCTCTAAGGTGTTTTCTTTCCTAAAAGGATTTAAAAACATTTAGCACCTTCAAGACACAACTCCTCATGACTTATGTCATATTCTGGAAACAGAATATGACAGTCTATATCCTTCTAGATAACAGTACAACAATCTGTCACTTTTCATTCTACAATAGGAACGAGAACTCAAATGCCAACTACACCACCGACTTCATCTTCAACCTGTACTCGGAGGAGGGCAAAGGCGTCTTTGACTGCCGTAAGAATGTCCTCGGACACATGCAGCAGGTCTGTTCATGCAGCAAAGCATCCCATCCACTTGAAATGGATTGCTAAATTGCAACATGGTCGACGATGCACCTTTCTGTCCTTTATTTACAGGGGGGCACTCCAACACCCTTTGACAGAACCTTTGGCACAAAGATGGGTGCCAAGTCTGTTCTGTGGCTCAGTGAGAAACTCAAGGACTGTTACAGGCACGGTACGTGGGCCTAAAATCGAATGTATCTGTTGCACGTTTTGAGAATATATAATACCAACAGGCAGTGGTGAAATGTCACCCAGTACATTCGCTGCAAGTATAATTTTAACATACTTTACCTACTTGAACGGAAGATGTTGTTGTTTTACTCTACTACATTTATGTGACAGCTTTACTTACTGGTTAATTTGCAGATGAAGATTTTATACACAAAACACATAATCAGGTTATAACATATGATGCGTACAGTATATGAAGTAGTTAAAATTTAGAAGTAAAATGCCACTTACACAATAATGCATCAATAATTGAAATCCAATTTTTTTTTTTTTTACTTAAGTAAAGGATCTGAATACCGTCTCCACCATTAACACGATTTAAATGAACTATTTCACTTCCTGTGTCCTTTAGGTCGCATCTTCGCCAACACGCCAGACTCTGCCTGTGTGCTGGGCATGAGGAAGAGGGCGCTCACCTTCCAGCCTCTTTCTGAACTGAAGGAAGACACAGATCTTGAGTAAGATGCATGTTTTATATATATTTTACTGTACTGTAACATGTTTAATGGTTATTATATGATGATGAATCCTCTGTCTGCTGCAGGCACCGCATCCCCAAGACACAGTGGTGGCTGAAGATTAGGCCCATCATGAAGATCCTGGCCAAGTACGACATCAAACTAGACACATCCGAACACGCCGACATGGAGCATGTGATCAAGAGTCCTCTCGGGAAATAGACTCAGTCTGCGCCCAAGAACAGAGCGAGGCAATTTCTATGTTCCAGTGCACAGCATTTTTCTTGTCCCACTACCTGTCCACATGCCTTAGGACAAGACAGCAGCTCCTTTACCTTCTCATCATTGCAGCCCAGTTAAAAGGCTCAATCTGCAGTGATGTTCTGTAGCTCTCCCATCCCTCAAAACCTTCAATGAATCAGATACCAGATATCAAGCAACCAATTAAAGATATATTTACAAAAATGTAATTGTGTGTCCTTTTTGTTAAATGGAGCACAATGTGAATTGTTCTGAGAAATAAGAATCGTATTAATTTTCAAACAGCATCCTAGTACATGTACAGTAAGAATGCTGATAGACTACTCACAAATAAAGGTTTGTAACATGCTGCAGTGTTTAAGAGACACATACAGATGTGTGTGACAAACAACCAGACAAAATGCAGTGAGGGCAGATGTTTTTCTGCAAAAGCTGAAAACATTCTGGGAATATCGATGCAAAAAAACATCTTTTGTGTCCACTTACACTTCATTGCAGCAAATATGAATTGTGTTGCAAGTAGTCTGCGTGAATGCTAACTTCTGCGTTAACAGTCTGCATTTAAATCGGGTAACACGAACATGTTCTGGCTCAAGTTTACTCACTCTGGATGTGGCAGATTCTAGTTAACAAGCAACAGAATGGCAAATGAAACGCATTCTTAGCCATAAAATGTGCAACACTTCTCCGACGCTGTCAGCCAGAAATACCGATGCTCGAGCATCAATTCACCAGCATGCACAACATGGTCTGGAGGTACCATCTCAGCTCCAAGTAAGTTAATGTTAAGATTTAATTTATTGCATTTTCATTGATGCGTGTCGAAGAGAACACTATGTTTCTTACTTTAGCTGAATGTGTTTGTGCATACACTTGGTAAAGGAAGTTCATTCATGTAATGCCTAATTTTTTTGCAGTGTAGGTCCTGTTTTGAGTTAATGAACCCGACTACTGACAGTACGAAAGCCGTGTGTGAGTCTCTGCAGCAGCCATCCTCTGGGACCGCCCATCCCGTCCAGCAGAACCTTCCTGCTTCTGCTGAGAGGAGCCAGTATTCTGGCAATCGCATGCAGACAGGGAAATATTACCCCCCCACCCTATTTTTTTGAATTCAGTAAAAGCTAAGGTCTCAAACATATACTATTTCTTTGTCACTTACCTGTATTATTCTGTCATTAGGTCTTTTACTGGGCTGTGGTTATTTTATTTCTGCTAAACCCAACACTGTCAGCAGAGGGCGCTCTAGGGACCTTGTGACGATAAAAGAAAGAGGACCTGGAGACGCCATGCAGCTCCGTCCACCTCAAGCAGCAGCAGTTGATGATGGAAGTTGTGCTGCATAGAAAAAGAAGCTTTAACCTTTATTTGCTTCTGATTTATGATGATGTGGTTCTTTATTAAGTTGTTTATTTTTGTTTTGTAAGGATAATGCTTTAAGAATTAGGGTTTGGCACAATACACTCAGCCTACACCTTTTTTTCAGAATATTACCGTTGATTTTATAGAACTTTATGTTGAAATTGTTGTAATGCGAAAAAAAATGACAACGCTCAGTTTTTACTGGCTCAGTTTATAATAAATAATTGAATTGAACCTTTCTGATCCTAACCTGCATGATTATCAAAAAAAGTGTTTTTTCAAAAGATACTAAATATTTGCTTCACTTATTTTACCAATATACAATATTTGGGTTTCATGTGTATGTACTCATGTATACGTTATAAGACAGTGGATATTTTAAGGTATTTAAGACAAAAAGAAGCCTACATTTTACGGAAACAATGTCTGACAGTCAGAAATAATAATTGAATACACCTGATCTAAATGATCAAAATTGACTTGGAAGGATGTTCAGGCCTACAAGGGGAAAAAATTAGAGTTTTGTTTTTCACAAATGTAGTTTGAAATTAGGAAATTAAATAAAGGTTGGCTTTCGCGGTCTTCTCTCAGGCTGGCTTGAATTTTGCTTTTAATAATTACATTTTAGAATAAAGTAGGTGGAATTGACCCTTCATCATTATAAATACAACAACAAAAAAGCTAAACTCTTCGTATATGTACTCTTGAATGGGGTGGTACTGAGGAAATACATATTATAATAGGGTCTCTGTTACGCCAACATACTGTAAAAATAAAATAATACAAAAAAACTACAGCGAGGATCCGGAAAAGGAAATGTTTTCCGCAGAGGTCACCAACAACTCGCGGTGGCCGCCGGGACGTCGGCGGACTGTGTGCCTGAGCTGAGGAAGGGTGCGTGTCCCCAGTGTCCGCTCCGGTCGCCCGGTTAGGAATGCGCCTCACAAAGCCGGTGTGTGGTGAAATATCTGTTGAAACGCCAGCGGGGACTGTGGTCTGAGAAGAGGCATGGTTTTGCATCGCTTATTCCATTACAATCTTAGCGTGCAAGTTTGATTCATTGAGCTAGCTGGCGTTAGCTCGCTTCGTTGATTCATATCAAGCTAGGTCGCTAGCTTTAGCCTGTAGCACACCTGCTAGCTGGCTAGCTAGCTGGTAAGCTAGTTTCAGAGTGCTGCTGCCAAGCCAGTCGAAGAGAACCAGACTGACTGCTGAATCAAGGCGAGATTTCGGAAGGAGGAGGTGGTGGCAGGCGGGAAGCCGGGAGAACGCGACGGAGTGGAAGTGAGTCAGGAGCAGCTGATGAGTTCAGATCAGAGCGGAGAGCCGCCGCAGCTGCTGGAGGAGGCTGATCCCGGACCAACGACTGGTGGGAAGGACGAGGCTCCGCTGGGGAGCGAGGGAGGGTCAGGCGGCATGGTGAGTGAGGCCTTCTCTAGCTAGTGAGCTAGCACGTTAGCTAAGCGACTGCTGCTCTTTGGGGACCTGTTAGCCCAGTACGCCCCCTCTGTGCGACGAGCGACATTCATTAAGACACGGCTAAAATTAACGCAACCAAGACGCATTTTAAGATTCTCGTTCTCAGTTTAACTTTCTCACTATTTGCGTGATCACTGTCTTAGTGTTTAATCGCAGGGTTATAATAATTGTCAAACGACAATAATCTCGGGCACAACACATACGGCAGCACTTTGCACGGTTAATTAACGTGACTAGCTTGAAGCTGGTGCAGGCGGGTCATTTCATTCACTCATCGTTCTCCTGCTCTCCACTGCAGCCACTACTGATAGCTAGCTAACGCTAGCTTAGCCACTGTGACGAGCAAGCTCATTAAGTAGTTTGCTGAGTAATCATAAGCCTATAAGTTAAAGTTAACGACACCGCTGTAAGATGGCGGTATTGGGAGCGGAGGGTACCGATTGAGTTGTTTTCGTCATGTATGTGATCGATGCCTCGATTATTGAACAACGGGTAAACGATCCTTCACTAATGTTACCTGTTGGCTAATCATGCTTCTAGCTAACTGGGCTAGCGCGCTGACATGCGCTGCAAATACCTGGCCTGTGCTGCGCAGCTCAGTCAGCTGACATTGCTTTGGCTTGCCACGGCCTGTAACACACAAGCATTCATTGTAACCATGTGTCAAGTTGCACGCCTCATAAATGTTCGCGTTCTTGTAAATGACACGGAGGCCTAAACCGTGTGACACGTCCATTCTCGTCTAAACTGGAGAGAAGCGTCTTGATGTATAATGGAACCGGCAGCTGTACTTGTCAGGCAGAGTGCTTTTGCTGCAAGGGGAGGGGGGGTCTGTTTGCAAGTGACAATGTTAAAAAGAAGTTGGTAAATTTGACAGCCACTGGTGGTTCAAAGGCAGTGTACATGTGTCATAAACCCCTTTTTACAGGAGTAAAGCATAATTCACAGTTGGCTCACATCAATATCTGTGTGCCTTAATATGTACAGAATGCGATCTATTCTTGGCCACAGCTTTTTGCAGGCTCAGGGTTTCTCCTGCCAGTCCAGAGCCCTTTTGATATGGAGAGTCAGATCTTATCCTTAATGTGCATCAGAAATATAATTATATTTGTGAAAGTAACACAATGTACTCTCACCATTATGTTGATTAATCAACATTTATTACTACATATTCTTTGTGGTTACTCAAAGCTTTTGTAATCATCATGAGGTCAACAGGGTAATAGCCTCTTTTGTCTACAGGGCATCATGAGGCCCTCTGTGGCATATTTCATTGCACTTCTCTGGTTCCCAATTAGTTGCCACGGAGGCCCAATGGTATGCAGGTGTTCCCGCCATCCTAAGATTGCACCAGGTGATTTCCGTTAGTGGCACTGCCCTCCCCAATATAAGGTTAAATTAATTAGTGAACTCAACTGCAGGTGTGGTGATGGTTGGCTGTGGCCTGCATGCTCTCAGTCTTCCAGTATGGAGACCAGTTTGATTCTCTGTTGAATCTGCACCTGGTTTTTGAGTGTTGATCATTTTTTGACACTGGATCTGCCTTTGCACATCAGTACAGATGTAATGATTATCCAAACAACAAAAGGTACATTTTACTTTCAGTTTCTTGCAAACATGTTTTAGTCAATTGTTTTAATGTATTCTTCAGGCGGTGTTTTAAGTGTTTTGTTTGCCTGTTAAAACATAATGGTGGCATAAGGCAACTAGTGTTTTATTGTTCGTTACGTTTATATTTTCCAAGTCCATTTTCATGATGACATCATCGCACCAGATTTCCACCTTGATGGTCGTAGATAAGGACATTGGATCTTACACGATTAGGTTTATTTAATGCATTGAAGATGCTCAATATCGGATATAAAAATAACTCGATGTGTTTGTATTGACAACCAAATAAGTTTTACTGGCTCGACTGAATAGTTAGAAACCATACTAGGTGCTGTAGTGTGCTGAAAATGTGATGAGTTAGTTTGAACAGCTAAGATTTGGTCTGGGTAAAAGTATCTTAGATCAGACTCATTGTAGTCTCAGTCACATTCAAATCTGTTCAAATGTAAACAAACTGTCAAATTGCAGCAGTCTTATATACATAATTGCCAGCTTTGCATGCACACTATTGTCTACATTGGGTTTTTGTGACTGTGTAATATGTCTTGCGCTTTATTCTGCTTTAATGTTTATGAATGTGGAACTTGCCTGATCCTGCTATTCCTGCTTTGAAGGTCACCTCTAAGGGTGCCGGTTTGAACCCAAATGCCAAGGTGTGGCAGGAGATGCCTGTGGCCCCCAGCGAAGCTGTTACCAACAGCCCTCATTGGCCCCCCTCAGACATCAGTGAGGGTGAGCTACACGTCAATCAGCCTAATTAAGTATCAGAGAACTGGGAGACGTATATACGGGGGAAGTAGCCCTGAACAATAGCGCTCTGTTTGTTGATAAACTCTTTTACCTCGTTCGCAGGTTATTCTGAGCCCTCGTCTGCTGGGGGTAAGCAGTACACGGTGGGATTCACGGCCCTGGATGACAGCAGCTCCACAGCAACAGCTGAGATAGCAGTAAATGGAATGGACCCTCCAGAGTTGGGCTTTTCCCCCGCTGAGTCCACCACAGGGACCTCAGGTCAGTCAGTCACGTCACTTGCAGTCGTCTCCACACTCCAATGGTGACCGCAAGCAAGTGTTATTCTTTTTCATTACATTACATTTATTCTCTTTTTAGTTTGGATGTGATGGGGTCTAAGTCACAAGGTCACTGAGTGCTAACCAGTGGGTATAGTCTTTGGGGAAGATGAATGAAAACCTGCAGACTGCTGGTTCTTCATTGTCCCCAAAGGTACATTTGTCTTGCAGCCAGGTGAAACTTGGAACACAGAGGCTGTTTGGCCACACCTGACCCATGCAGTTATTTGTTTTTCATTCACCATGTTCACGTATAAATCATGTGTTTGACTCTGGGGATGTTTAACATACATTCAACCCTTCAGACTGGTTGTCACCGCTCGCATGAGACGAGTAAAGGGATACTTCAGCAGTTTTTGTTCTTAGGAAAGGTCAAACTCTATAAACACTGGATCCTACACTACCCACAATACAACAAAACATCTTTTATTAGACATTCCTTGTATGGGAAAGTGTCTTGAGTTCGAAGTTGCATATCTACAGCCATTAACACATCGTATACCTGTTTTCACAGGCTCGGCAGTCCTCATTATTTAATAGTACTCGCATGACTTGCATGTCACTACTTATTAAAGGTAATGAAGTAGCTCAACATGTCTTTTGAGATGGTTTGACGTCACCACCATTAATACATACACGTTTGAAGTGCTGACTTGGCATCGACTCAGGACATGACAGCCCCAATGACAGCCTCAATTATAAAACCGTCGTATTGTATTACCGCTGACATTTTGTTTTTGGTTCTCAGTGGATTCCAAAACTGCAGAGCGATCTAAAATCTCCTCCGAGAATCTCCGAGAGTCTCTGAAGAAGGAGCTCGAGTTTTATTTCTCCAGGTAAGAGACGACCACTGAAACCACCTTTTATCCTTTTCTATATTGTAGAATTTGAAAAGTGGACGTGTTATTTCCAAGTCAAGAGAAGGCTAATCTACATGGATCTGTTTTGTGTTTCAGAGAGAACCTCTCAAAGGATTTGTACCTGATGTCCCAGATGGACAGTGACCAGTTTGTCCCCATTTGGACTATAGCCAGCATGGAGGGCATCAAGGTCCTCACCACTGACATGGACCTCATCTTGGATGTGTTGAGATGTAAGCGGAGATTTTAGGATGACGTATGCTCAAACGATCTGCATATTAATATGTGAAGTGTCTAGATTTATAAACCTTGATTTTTCCCTCAGCCTCTCCTATGGTACAAGTGGACGAGAAAGGAGAGAAAGTGCGTCCTAATCACAAGCGGTGCATTATCATCCTGAGGGAGGTCCCTGAAACCACACCCGTTGAGGTAAACTTGTGCATACACAGCTCGTTCTTCGAAGTTATTTTTAAGTGAGGATGACGATGTTTTACCTGAAGTGTGAAACCATTCTTTATTTGTAATTCACAGGAAGTAGAGGCACTGTTCAAAAACGACAACTGTCCAAAGGTGATAAGTGTCGAGTTCGCACACAACAACAACTGGTACATCACATTCCAATCAGACACTGATGCTCAACAGGTAACGCAGCTCAAATTGCTCTTTTCTCTTCGGTCTCTGGAGTATTCTGGTGAACTGTCTCATGATTCTCCCTCATGCTCCCCCAGGCATACAAGTATTTGAGAGAGGAAGTGAAAACATTTCAGGGAAAACCCATCATGGTGAGCTAAATTAAATCTCCCTGTCATTTCGGAAAGACCCTTTCTGTGAAGTTGTTTTTAGGTATTTCACTCATTGCTCTTTTCCTGGTTTTCCGTGCTGACAGGCTAGGATAAAGGCCATCAACACATTCTTTGCAAAGAATGGCTACCGTAGCGTGGACAACAGTCTGTACGCTCCGCAGTCCCAGAGCCAGTCCCAGTACAGCTCCCCGCTCTACATGCAGCACGTCTACCCCCAGCAGCAGTACCCAGTCTACGGCATCGTACCGCCCACCTGGACGCCTTCGCCCACACCGTATTTTGAAACTCCTCTGGTGAGACATGCCAACTACTCTGGAGTTCACCCGCCATGCACCTCGGTAGAAAACATTCAGTCCCCGTGTTCACTTTGTTTTTGTGTGTCATCAGCATTAATCACTTAAAATGTGATTCAAATAATAAACCTTGAAAGCCACAAGTTGTGCGCTGGCAGTAATTGTTTGCCACCTTTGTTGCAGTGTCAAATAAGAGTTTCCCCTCTTGCAATTTTTCATGTCAGTAGACATGAACAAAGTATTTTGCGTAATAAAGAGTTAAAATATTCAGTTTTAAAAACTTACAGAAAATGCATTTTCAGCTCCTTGTGGCAGCAACTGAATAACTAACTGGACAAATTCTCTGTTTTTAAGTACTGTGTTTTTCCCCCTTGTGCAGGCTCCGTTTCCCAACAGTAGCTTTGTGAATGGATTCGGCTCTGCTGGACACTACAAAACTGCCTCCAGTTCTCTAAATATGACCCGCCCGTTCAACAGAAACCGGTAAGGACTTCTTTGCCGAATGCCATTTGTGATTTTCTTCTTTTAGTTTTGGCTTAAACCGAAGTCTGTTTTTACCATAAGCATAATCTATTTGGAATATTTTACCACTTGTGTCATTATGTGTTAAACCGTGAACGTCGGATCACCTGCAGTTACATTTTGTCTAAAGATGGCGTGTCCTCACCAGGGAACTGTTCTTCACTCCCTGTCTTCTTACTGTCCCCACAGTGTCCCCCTCTATTCAAGAAAGAATGTAATAAATGCCTTCAGGTACCACTGTTATACTGTACAATAAGCTTCATCGCTGCTGTCATCTCTTGCCATACTGCAACAGCCAAAGGACTAAATCCATAATGGGGCCAATGCCTTCTGCCAGTCACATTTGTACGGCCGCGATCCTTTTCATCAGTGTGTAGATGTTGCCAGTTAACGGACGTCCTAGAATTTGTTGTATCATTTCGTAAATGTAGGCTTGCCTACTGAATGGCAGCGGCTATCTGATTCTGAAACTGGCTTTTTCCAGTTATGGCCGCCATGGCTCCAACATTTCCTCTTTGCATTACATGTAACAGTTTCCCTCCATCACAGCTACCTACCCGTGTTATTTTCTCATTGTTTTTTCTTAGCTTTACTGCTTTCTCCGTCACTGATTGCATCACCACATGCAACGAGTTATGTGCTAAAACACAATGAGAGGAGTTGAGTCTAGGTCAGGCAGCTGTTGAGCTTTAACGGCGCACACTTTAAATCTCTCACAAAGATGTGACAAATTTGTTTATGTAGTGAAAAAGCAGCTTCGCCAAGAAACAACCTTCTCAAGTCGGACCCGATGATGAGATCAATATGCGCATAGAGGGAAACCAGAGAGTGGAGTGACCGGCTTTGGTTCACTCTTTCTCCGCTTCATCTGTTCTCTTTCTGTTCTCTTGTCTCTTCGCCCTTCCCCTCCAAAGTCGGGAGCTTCACTCCTGTCCCGATGAGCGTTCAGATTATGAGATCTGAGGGTCAAAGACTCATGAGAAGTACAATCCATGTGACTCACGCTGCGAGGTCTTCTTCAAGCCGTATCCGTCTCAGAGCATTAGTGCTGCATTAAGATATTAGCAGCCCGTCTAGGTGGGTTAGGGTTACACGGGCGTTGCCAGCTCTTCGCAATAGGGTTATGATTTGTTGCAGATTTCCACACGTTCAGTATGTTGCCATCAAAGTCTCCACAGCTTCAATCCCCCCC